CAAGTATATTATGTGTCACGGAAGGGCAAAACGCAGCGCATGAGCTCAGGCGCAGGTTTGGGGTAGATATGGCCTCCGACTTAACGATACCGCGCGCACGATAATTTCCACTTACAAGTCCACCCAGGGAGTATCAATAAATAGAGACAAGAAACAAGCTTATTTAAACTCGGGATATAAAACATCAAATTATACACCAACTAGAGGATTTAGTAGGTAGCTTAGCAAATTTAGCGGATTTAGCAAATTTTAGCACATTCAGCAAATTTAGCAAATTTAGCAAATTTAGCAAATTTAGCAAATTTAGCAAATTTAGCAAATTTAGCAAATTTAACAAATTTAGCAAATTTAGCAAATTTAGCCAATTTAGCAAATTTAGCAAATTTAGCAAATTTAGCAAATTTAGCAAATTTAGCAAATTTAGCAAATGAAGCAAATAAATTTAGCAAATTTGGCAAACCCAGCAAACCTAGCAGACCTTGCAAGTTGGCCAATCTAGCCAAATTTATCAAAATTAGCAAATCTATAAAATTTTACAAATCTAGCAAATCTGGGATCCCTAGCACATTCAGCAAATTTAACAAAGCTAACAAATTTGGCCTGTTTAGCAATTTTAGCAGATTTAGCAAATCTAGAAAATTTAGCAAATTTAACAAAGTTAGTCAATTTAGCAAATACAGCAAACTTGGCAAAGTTAGCAAGTCAGCGAATGTGGCAGATCTTCTAATTCCCATTATACTAGAGTTCAAGCATATATAGAAAATCGAACAATTTTAGCAGGTTCAGCAAATTCCAGCAAATACAGCAATCTTCACAAAATGTTCAAATGTATGGCTGCTACGAAGTTAGTATAGCAAATAAGACTAATTTAGCAAGTTTAGCACCTTTAGCAAATTTAGCAAATTTAGCAAATTTAGCAAATTTAGCAAATGTGGGTAAAGCAAAGCATTGTGAAATAATTAAGGGTCATTAAAAACTTGCGTGTCCTCAGTGGTGCAGCTCTTCAATGGTGTCACCCTGTATAAGTGAAGAGGTGGGCCTCACGGTCCCGGTGAACTCTCTTAGGCGCTGTTGGATTGGTGATAGTACCCTTGTTCCAATAGAAACGCCCTGTACAATGCCATGTATGATGTTGAAGGTTGGTTTGGTATCCAAAATAAAAACCCTAGGAATAAATGATCCAATTACTATCTCTACCCAGAAATAGATACCCCAATAGACTCAAATTTAGTCCTAATTACTATGGACTAATGAAATTGATAAAAAAAACAAAATTTGATTAATGCTTCACCAAACTATAGAAATCAAACAAGCAACTGGTTTACCTAACCCAGTGTTAATCTTCTTGTTGAACTTTTATTCTCTATTTCAAAACATATAATGATATGAAATACCTAACCAGTCATATTCACTGTATAATATTAGAAAAATAGGAACAACTAGACCAGCTACGTTCGAAAAATAACAAGCTGTTACTCACAGACTGTCCTGTGATTTTTCCCAAGTCATAAAAAAAAGAATCAACAATTCTCCATGAAATATTTAGGAAAATCAACTTACCCTGGCCAAGAGGTTTGTTTTATCCTTTTGTTATTTATGTCAATAACGTCGACAGTGCATAAACGGGTGGATCAAAATCTGGTAAGTGATAATAGGCCTTATTGCATCTGTCCTTAAGGAAATGACGATACCATGAATTCTATCGACAAGAAAAAAAATGCTTCGTTAGATTCTGGAAACACGGGATCACCACAAAGATAGCACAACACAAAAAAAATGCAAAAGGTAGTCCACATACCTAAGTATACAACTGGTATCCTGAGGGAGCAGCTCGGATAACTTCACGTGAGAGAGTTTGGCAAAACTTCAGATCCTCGTAACGAGTCCAATTTGGGTCAGCATTCCAAAATATCCACAAAATATCAACCAACTGACACCGACATCGGTAAATATAGTCAACAAAAATAATCCCCTTGCAGGATGATACCAATAATCAAAATTTTGTGACTAACGTTTCGCCATTACTCTCACTCTCAACCACTAGAAGTCAAAATGAATGAATACCCCCAGAACACCACAGGTGTCGACTCGAGCAACCACTTGTCAAAAGAAGCCCACAGAACAATGAACTATGGTGACGTCACTCCATCTTGGTGCAATAGATGTTGACACTAAAGAAGGTAACCTATCCGCCTAAAATTCCCTTCAGGATGAAAGACTTGATGAACAGAACTCTGGTACTCTCCATACAGCAAACCGGGTGAGTATACGTAGCTATATCCGCTAAAATATAATTTTACAACCCAGGAATTTATATTTCCAGATATGGCAACCCTGCACTAGAGATTGGCACTTACTAATGGATCGATACGAATGATCAGCGCCCAGCTCTTTCACGTCTGTCATAAATCAGACTTCATCACTTGACGCCCATGACAATAATGTCAGGTATGTCATGATGTCAAGTCAAATGATGTAACAAACAGCAGCTCGCTGTGTAAACAAAGAAAAATAAATCGTATCCAAATATTCTTCGATTATACCAGCCTGATACGATTAGAAGCGAATAAACATTGGATTCAACCAACTATCTGGTAAGTCTGAAAGTCAACTTAGTACATCCTACAAGTCTCTATACAATCTCGCCTATAGTCTGCTACCATACTCAATTGATCAATACCTAAGTAAATAATTATGTTCATATGTTTTCAGGGTTCATAGCGGCGCTAACTACACCGAAACCGATGAATAAAGAATCGATGAGTGTGTTGAAATGCTACGAAAGCCAGGTGAGCCATTATTTGGAAGCAGTGCAGAAAAACCTGTTAGACACACAGATCTACTTCAGGGATACCTATCACACGAAAGACAGATAGAAGAATACCTTTTTTTGCGTTCATTGTGCTGTGAGAATAACAATAAATAAATTAAGGTACAGGGTGATCGAAAGGCGAGTTTTATTTATTCTATTTTTCCTGGTTGTGTAACGAAATGAGTTAACGTGGAAATTGAACGTTACACATGAGAACATGGCGAGACGAACACCAATTTCAACTATGCTGTGACCAGGCAGCAATGATTGAAGTGATTCAAACGTCAATTCTTAGAATTTTTCCCGACCAAAATGCGAAAAATTGGAAAATCTACGTGAAATACCATCAACCAATCGGAATATCCAATCATCAAGAATACGTACAAGTCATACAAAAAGGGGACATCCGACATCCTAGATTGTTGACGAATTGAAAATTATCCACCGGAATCGGAACAATTGCTAATATAACGACAAATTGGAGTGATTCAGGTGGCGAAATCAGATGAATGTAACGCAATTATCGAGTAGGTAAGCCATCGACATGTATGACAAGTAATGATTTCTGTTAGAATAATCTGTGTACACATATACGTAAAAAATGAAGATTCAGAGTAACGAATTGATATTGTGTTCTCCACCGGAGATAACAAAAACTGCAAAAGTCACATCACTGAACTTGTTACCGTAGAAATCCCGAAATGTTTATGAATTTGTGTCAATATAGGAAACTATGTTGAACTGCATCATCTTCGAAAACAGAGGTCTGAAGACTTGCATACTGGAAAAGCAGATATATTTCCATCCGAATCAATCAACAAATTTTGTATTCAGGCAAAAAATCTGACAATGAAGATAAGATATCAGCTACATCTACAAACTTGCTCAAATTCATATATCAAATATAATACTAGTCGTGGACAAAGTATGGTATTCTACTCGCATATAAAAAGCTATTATTCGCTCAAGTTCATTATGCCACTTGCTATGCTCATGACATAAGCTCAACCTCCGTGAATAATAGTCCTCATTATATGCACCTTTAATAATATACTATTATATGCAGTAGCTTCCACGATCGATCTGACATTGGGTTGGGGAAATTGGGTTTGGGTGTCGTGTAAAATGACTTGATTTTTTGTTCCCTAGGCCCAATATAGCAAGATATCCCTTAACAGCGTTTTCGTGCCTTTGTCGTGAAATTTCGGTCTCCTGGGATGAGATGAAAGTTCTCTACTGTCATTTGCGAAGCTATGCATGGAAAGGGTGATGACCTCAAACAAATATACAGGGTAATTCGGAAGTAAGCGGCAACGCAGGTCTGAAGGCTTTCATCCAAAAGAAACAAATACATTTTCATCCGAAGTGATCAACAAATTTTGGATCCAAGCAGGTGATGATCCGAAGGCACAATCCTTGCATGAAAATAGGACAAAATGTTTCTATTAATATGAGCCCGAAAATGCTTTATAAGGGAGCTACGTCCTCTTGAATAGGACAGGTTGAAGACGATTTTTCCTCTATAACTTCAAAATCCTTCAATATTGAATCTTGAAAATTGGTGTAGGGTATCAACAGTTGATAGTAAATCAAATTCTGAATTCGAAAGGTTTGTTATAATGGATTGTTTCTTTATGGTGATGCAGAATGATCTTCATCAATAAACATACCCAAATCAGAGATTCTTCAAAGTCGAGTATCTCGTATATGGTACGCTTCATTGAATTGAACTGAGGGTGCATTCTTTACGAGAAATAACGAGAATTTGATAATTTTCTGACCAAATCACATCAACCTAAAAAGTTTTAAAAACAGAAGTTTCTCCTTCACCCTCTTCCGCATGTGATTGTCCTGAATGAAATTTTGGAATCCCATTGACTATAAAATGTTCGAACCGTATAGAGAAAAAAATCGTCTTCAATGTGCCCTATATAAAGGGGCGCTGGTCCCATAGGAGGCAATTTTGGACCAATATTGATAGAAACTTCTTGCCTTATTTTTGTGTAAGAACTAAGGTCCCAAAAGAATGCCGCTTCATTTCGGAACACCCTATATAGTAGATACAATGTGGGTACCAAAATTGATATTTGCGTGTTTTTATTTGTAAATCGAAAATATCAACTCTAATGAGTGTACCTAATCATTAAGTATATAGGAATTGCTCAGTTACACATTTTTTCAACCTTACCTGTTGATCCAACAAATCAACTGATTTCTTATCGGATCGAATGGCGACTTGAATTGCATGTATCAACATCGATATTGCAGATAAAGTGGCTTCGTCTAGTCTGTTGAATTCATCAAAACAGCCCCATGCACCGGTTTTGACAAGTCCTGTTAGGATTCTTCCCATGGAAACTACATCAATCCCCTTTAAAATACATAAAAGAGATGAGGAACTTTTTAAATTGAAGTATATCAGGTGTACCAGGATTATGATTTCTCTTCAAATTTTACAAAATATATTGAAATGAAATGAATAGTCATTCATACAGTAATAATACTCCAAGTCGTCTCCACAACGTTTAATATCATCAAATCATAAATGGAAAGGACACATGTATCGGATTCAGCTAATCGGAAGTTTATTGTAGGCAGAACACATTTTTTGAATCGAATGAAGATGAAAAGTTATTTCATGGAAATTCGAAAAACAGAAAAAATACTTTTTTGTGTTATAACAGGTTTCTAAGCTAAGTAGAATCGCCACATTAGGAGGCCTAAAGACATGAAAAAAAAAACTCTCATTTTGGGTATATTAGTATAGGCAATTGTTCATGTGGAATCTGGCAATGCTTTATGAAATCCGATGTCAGTGTCATCTAATTTCCATGTGGATTGCAGAGTCACTAGAATTTCAGTAGCTTTGAAGTAGCGTTCTCGATTTCATTCCATTATCTGTTGAATTTTCGACATAACATTTCTCGTCAATTTGAATGAATTTATTACATCCTTAATTCACGAGGTCTCCTTTCTCATTTTCTGGCCCTAGAAGCCGCTGATAAGAGAATTATACAGGTTGTCCCAGAATTACGTTCGTATTCTCCGGGAGGTAATTCTACAAATAAAAATCTAGAAATGTGTTTACTTCGAAATATGTCCGAAAATACTTCCACAGGGTAGGCTGAAGGTAGGTAAATGAAATTTGGTACCTGAGAAAAAGTTGATCAAACTTATCAATCATTTCATTTCGATCAAAATATATAAAAATGATGATGATGATGAAATATACAGGGAGGTGCGAAACTTCTGTAACCGATGTTATTCAGATGCGTAGTTTTTTTTTATGTGAAGGAAAAAAAGTTTCATCCTTGTTGGCAGGTTATTGAATGTCATTCTCCATGAATGAATTTCCTCTTGAAGGAGAAAACTATATATCACGTATATATATACAATGTTTCAAAAAATGAGCCAATTACACCGTCTCCGAGAAATAACTGCAAGTCCTTTCATCTTCCATTCAACTTCGCGGTTACGGTAATAACCAAACAACCATGTAATTTCACAATTTTTCTTTAATTAACCCTTAACCCGAAGTATGTGCCTGGCAGACACCTACTCTCCTAACTTTTGCAATTGTGAACATACTAATTTATTTAGCCACCCCACCCTCTAGGTATCCTCATCAAGTGATCTTAGGCGTTAGATCGCGTCAAATGCATTCAGTTACAATTTGACGTTTAGTGAATACAGGTCAATTATTGTGAAAAGATACGGTGTCTATTAGACACATACTTCTAAAAACGGTTGAAAAAAGGCGAAAATGTACCCTTTGTCCCTACACAAAAAACGAAATATAAGCTATAAATAGATAGAAGTGTGAAAACCCAATATGTTTGGAATGCTCTAGGAAGTTATGTGTATCGTGTTGTCAAGAATTATAAATCTTACATCAAATTCCATATATTACTAGAAATTTTGACTTATTTGAGTATTTCATTTTATTCTTCAAACATGTTTTATTTTGTTCGAACTGTGACAATATGATAAATATCAATTTTTTTTATTTTTTGTTACAATTTTATTGTTTACAGTTTAGAAGAGCTTTCTCCCTTTCCCGCTCTCCCGCTACTGCTGCCTGGCCTCCGCATACGTGTGTCTCATTCGTCCTTTTGTGCCGTAGCAGACCGCACGTTGGTAAAACTCGCTCGCAACGTAAGTATACACTAGAGTCCCTGTATATACCTTAGACAAGAGTCCGTACACAAAACTGACAGCTGTTGGGGTTTTCAATATTTTGTTTCATTTGGTTTGTCCACCTGACAATGTGACGAAACACCATAGTCGTCCCGCCCGCTTTTTTTAATTATTTCGAATTTCTGTCACTGTCACTTTGAAATTCTATGACCGCCAAAATTTAGCATTTTAAATTATTTCAATTTCCTGCTGCGTACATTATTGCGACAATTCATTAGAAGAGGGATTCAAGTTATAATTATTATTTAATAGTTATTATAGTTAAAATAGCCCTATTTCCCACTTCTACCTACGGCTATGAACGGTTTGACAAATAATCTAACCCTCAAAATTGTTTCTGACAATCATTGATACTAGGGGAATTGAAAAGACAGAGCTCGATATATATGTCTTATTCCTTTATTCAATCATCAATGCATTTTTTGAAAACAGAAAAGGACAGAAGTATAGCTGTGTCTGGACTCTTATCTAAGGTATATACAGGGACTCTAGTATACACTAACCCGCTAACAGAAATTTCTCGTAGGAATTTCAGCATGGGAAGAAAAAGTAAGAGAAGAAGCCCGTCGTCGTCGTCGACAGAAAGTAGTGATTCCAGTATTTCCAAAAAGCAGTTGTTAAAACGGCTGAATCGTTTGGAACACAAATTAAAACGGAAGCGCCGTCGCAGGGACAGGGCTAAAGAAGCCGAGAGGGAACGGCACCGATCTCGATCGAGATCGAGGGCTGTGTCTTGCGCGCCGTGCGCTCCTATTGTTGATCAAGGACAGGACCGTTTCCAGGGAGAACCGGCGTTGTCTGTAATTAGCGTAGAGCGACAACTGGGAATGTCGCCGAACGCTCCTTCATACGACGAAGATCGTAACCTGCGAGGTTCGGCTTCGGAACGTGTTGAAGAAAATCAATCTCCAGTTTTAGTCATACACAATGACGTCGAGCTGGAGGACGACGTGCTTAAGATACTGGGCGACGAACCCCAGATGATAAATAATAATAATACAATCGAAGTGCATAAAGCTTTGAGCTCTAGATGGAATTATATTATCCAGAAAGGGCTTACCCAAGAGCTCAGAGAGTCAATAAAAAAGCAATATGGCATCCCGGCCAATCTAGAGTTGAAACCACCTGAGGTCAACCAAGAAATTATGCCTATTTTGTCGGCAATTCATAAAAAGAGAGATTCATGCTATGCTGAATTCCTATCTGACATAGGACATGGATTATCAGCATTGAGTAAGGGTCTTAACCAGTTACTAGAAAACCGGGATGATATTCCTCAAGACATAAAAGAAAAACTCCTCAGTCCTATTTGGGACTCAGGTAGAATTTTTACAGATTTGTTTTCTAAGGTTACTGAGACAAGGCGCACTCTATTGATGCCTTTGCTCAGTAAACCAGTGAAGGAAATTGCAGAAAAGACAATTTCTGGCAAGTTACTTTTCGGAGACGATTTTGGAGAAAAAATCAAATCTGCAAAAATGCTAGAAAGGGCAGGTAAAGAACTTTTGCCTCAAACCTCTTCACAAAAAACTCCTCGGAAGGCGAGCACAACAGAAAGAGGAAGGGGGGTAAGACGAGTCCTGTCTACTAGCCAGGCGGAAAACAAGTATCGCCCGACTCGTACCAAGAGGGAGACGAAGTCATACAGAGGGCATCCCTCGAAATACGACAGCCGCAACCCGAAATGGAGGTAAATCTCGAGGTAAGTGATATTCCCTTAGCGGGAAGATTAAAATATTTTGTACGAAATTGGACAAAAATTACTTCTAATCCATTGATTATATCATGGATAGAAGGATACACAGTCCCGTTCTTAAATAAACCAAGGCAGGGGTGTACTCACATAGCCTCAAATCCTCAACCGTGTCCACAAATGGCAGAAGCCATAAATGAGTTGATTGAAAAGGGAGCTATAGTTGAATGCCATCCCCATCCAGAACAGTTTGTTTCTAGAACATTTTTAGCAGATAAACCGAATGGTCAGAAACGGTTTATTTTAAACCTCAAGCAGTTAAATCAATTTGTCAGAAGTTTGCATTTTAAAATGGAAGACCACAGAACCGCGTCGAGACTAATTCAAAGGAATATGTACATGTCAACCATCGATCTCAAGGATGCGTATTTTTTGGTTTCGGTAAATTCAAATTTTAGAAAATTCTTGAGATTTTATTTTAACGAAAACCTATACGAATTTACCTGCGTACCATTCGGATTATCTGCAGCACCATTTATGTTCACCAAACTAATGAAACCAATTCTGAAAAACCTTCGAGCCCAAGGCATAGCCTGTATCAATTATTTGGATGATTTCTTGATATTAGGCAGAACTGCAGCAGAATGTCAAGAAAATACCAGCATCGCAATTAATTTGTTGAGATCCCTAGGGTTTTTGATCAACTGGGAAAAAAGTTCCTTAATTCCAGCACAACGACAAAAATTCCTTGGATTCCTTTTTGATAGTAAACATTTTTTACTTGAATTACCAATGGAGAAAAAATTGAAAGTCAAAAAATTAATTGGAATTTTTCTGAACAAAAGGTCATGTAAAACACAAAAATTTGCTAAGTTCATTGGCGCCCTCGTATCATCATGTCCAGCAGTGAAGTATGGCTGGTTATACACGAAATGCCTTGAGCGCGAAAAGTTTAATGCTTTAAGAGCAAATAATATGAACTATGACGCCATAATGAAGATATCTAGCAAGATACTACCAGAATTGCAATGGTGGGGTTCAATTATTATGGAATCAAAGAATAATTTCAAACATGATTCTTTCAGAACTGAAATTTACACTGATGCTTCGCTCACTGGATGGGGTGCTTGTACAATCAATCAAAGCACTCGTGGTTGGTGGGGTGATGCAGACAGGGCAAAGCATATAAATTTTTTGGAGCTGCGTGCAATATATCATGGCTTGAGATGTTTTGCCAAGGATTATCAAAATTGTAGCATCCTGGTGAGAACAGATAACACAACGGCACTGTCATGTGTGAACAGAATGGGAAGTGTCCAACATGTTCACCTAGACAGGCTAACCAAGGAAATCTGGCAATGGTGTGAGGCTAGGAATGTGATGATTTTTGCGTCATATATCAACACGAAGGATAATTGGAGGGCCGATCGAGAATCGCGCTCTCTATCCACAGAAACTGAGTGGTGTCTTGCACCATACGC